ACAGTACGCTATCCGAATGAGACTTTGAAATGAAAATGGAATAATTGTTAAACTCAATAACTAAAAAGCTAGAATAGCGTGGTACCATTCCATAGGACCTGGGTGCATTATCTCTTCCGAGCAACATCTAAAATAGAAACAGTTTTTTCTAACAGCGGTTGCCACTCGGTAGGAAATGGAAAACGCCCGACTGAACTTCTGCAATGAAAAAGCTTCTCATAAAAATCCCATTTCTTTTCGGGGGGCGGCATAAAATCGTAGGTCTCAATATTAAGGTTATAAGATCATTACGCACACCATAAAGTGGAGGAGAAGCTCGGCCAAACACAAAAGCGTAAGCGCAAAATTATCATTATTTGTAAAAAACAAAAAAAAAAAAATAGAATTAAAAGTCACCTTATTGCATGTTTGTAAAAATATATAAGACTGGCTTATATTCGGGCGTTTTTCACCCAAAGTTTTTGCACACCCGCTAGCTTATTTATATATTATATATTTTACACTTGCTTACTTGTTGGACCATACAACGAAAGGTATAATTTTAATATAGCCATCATAGTTCGCAGTCGTATTTAACATATACATACGCTTAAGATGGGTAATATGAATTTGGAATTGAAAGCGTTTAAAATCAAATGACTAACTATTTGGCATATCCCAACGATATTTTTCCTTAAAAGCGTAACAATAAGTTAATAAAGAGAAAAGTTCGGCAACTTAGGGCCGTTATATGCATGTGATGGATAAAGCAGTAGATAGTTTTAAAGGAAATATAAATTTAATAGGCCCTCGAGAAAACGGCTCTTAAAGTTTCTATTTCGATCGAACTAAATACTGATGTTCGTAGATAACTCATACGCCATGGAATGCGAGTAACTGAAGCAGGCTAGCCTAAATTGGACATATTTATGTATATTTCTTTGAAATTTGGTTGTATATTCATGCAATACAAAAATGCCCGGCTCCTTCGTAATTAAAAAATACAAATATGTACATGTAAAAACTACAAATATGTTGGCACATTAGGGTGGGTAAATTTTTTTGACTATGCGCATATAGTAGGATTCTAAGTGTAATTCTGAGCAATTTTGCTGAAAAAACTATGGGTCTAAAATCAATTTGGAGTTTATCAAATCATCACATCCAGAATGTGCTGGTAATATAGGATTTGACCAAAATCAATAACTGCGAATTTCGAATGAAAATATTTTGCTATGTACTATTTATTTGTAAAGAAGTGTGTATAATACATACATAAATACCTATGAATGTACCATAAAAAGCTTCTAGTGCCGGTAAAGTGATATTGTATTTGTGCTTTTTTTAAAAAAAAACTACCAAGGGCAGTGGAAGAGCTAGTAAAAATGTACACTACTTTCTTAGAAAATGTACATAGTTAAATAAAACGCAATAAACTCATCGATGCATTTTATTATTGTTTAAAATAGTTTATGCGTCTTTTATTTTATACTTGTATACGTAACTATGTAACTAAGCTCATGACCTTGTAGGGGTGAATTAATTCATGATAGTTAAGGTGACCAGATTTCTGTGGACAAAAAGCGGGACATTTCTAAAGCATTGAATCCGAAAATACAAATTTGTTTTTATCACAGTTGTATTTGAAATAAAGCGAAGAGAAAAAACTATAAAAATTATCGCAAGAATGTACACATACAGGGTGGGCGAAATGAGACCTACCAATTTCACGCAGCAGGCCCATAGGTTTCCTGTGGTTGGTCTTATTTGTCCCACCCTGTACAATATATTTGAAGCTTATATTTTTCATATCCATGAATTTTTTGAGGAAATTAATATAATTTTTTATAATTGCATTAAATTTCAACTGGAGTAGTACCAGTGGTTGTGCGAAGTTATGCGAAGTATGCATGATGAGACCTTAATATAGCGCGAGTAGCAGTTTGACAACGTTCCCACGACAGTCGGGTCTACGTAACCGGAATAACCCAAATTTATGTATGTAAATTAGGGCGGAGTAATTTAATTTGGAAAAAAGTGTATGTCATATTCAAAATATTTTTTTTCTATAAAATTTTGTGCGTTCTTCACATTTAAAAAACTACTTCGCAAGACCGAGAAAATAGAAAATTACATATGTATGTGTTAAATTTTTTGATACAATGAAAAATAAATTTCGACTAAAATAGTTACAATATACTGCTTTTTCTATTTAAAATTGGGAGGGTAAAAGGAAATGCTTGGTCTATAATTTGTTCGCCATTTTTACTTAAAATTAATCTTAGAATTTGAATTTGCTATACACTTTCTTCGAAAATTTTGCTCCGAACAAATTACTCCGCCCTAACTTACATAGGGGAGTGCCAAGGACTGTCACTCCAGCATCACTTCCCAAAAACTCTTTGAGCAATTTGTATGCCGTTAGAACAAAAATTAAAATATTGACAAAAGAAGACAAATTAAATTAGAAAAGAAAACCTTAAAAATTGGGCTTAGTCGGTACAAATATGAAAAATCGGGACACTTATACGTCCAGACTTTTAAAAAATATTCAGCGCTGAACGCTTTTTATCTACAAGACTAGCACTTCCATGGGCTTTTAGATATATATTTATATATAGAAAAAAATCAGTACTATACCGCGAAGTAGTCCTGCTCACAGAAACGGCAGGCGCTCGTGCCTAAAATTATCGTTGTACTGACATGGTAACGTGGGCAAAAATGTCCGTTGAAGTCCTGAGGAAGAGTTTGAAGGACCTGACTGCCTAAATTTTGGATTTTCCTTGCAGCTTCTTGAGATGGACAGGACACACGACTAAGTCCTTGTGTATACTTTGGTCTGCCCACAAAAGACCTTGGGAATATGAATAAATTTGCCGTGCGGTTCGCCGGTTGATTGGCATAATGGTTCTCATGACTTGTCACCCAGTCTAGAAATATTAAAATCTCCAGTTGCTAGAACGTTAAGGGTACTTTACAGGGTTGAAAAATGGAAATTTGAGATTGTACCTAATATCATAAAATAAATGTACCTAAATGAGACAGATTGTACTTAAAAAAGTTACATCATTCATTTGTAGTTTTTTTTAATAAATGTTTTTAAAACATGTATACAAAAGATGGATGTTTTTTTTTTAACTGAGCCTATATCTATAGACTACATATAATCTAATGGGGATCGGAGAAGCGTTTATTTGTCTAATTTTGGCTACTGAAAAATATTGGCGAAAAAGACACAAAACCCACTTTGCGAAGTATACTTCTTTATCCAGCTTTTAATAAAACAACGGGAAAAGTCTGCTTATTTATCCGATTCCTTTCGATAGGTGCAGCAAGTCTAGAGAAAATAATCAGGAATTGCAGGAAGTAACTTCGAAAGCATTTTAAATATATTTCCAGAAATCAAAAAGCGAATATGGGTCAAATAGCTATAGTTCTCATCTAAAGAAAATATGAAATTTGAAGACATCCTAGACACTAAACTGTATGTGTGAATAAAGGCTGGTTTTCATTATGTCATATTTTGACAAAAAAATTTGTCGCCATATTTTGACACAACTTTCTTTCCTTTATCCCTACCTTTATCGATGATATTATGGGCCAAAAACTTAGAAATAGCCGCTTTTGAAGCTCTTGTTGAGCGCAGAATTGCTTTTGTTTTCTACGCCGGATAGTTACGCAAGAGAGTTGAAAAAGTTCCTGCCCAGGAAGACCGCTCTACTCTTAGCTAAAGCTGGACAGCAACAGAAGAAGTGGTAATTTCTTTCTTCTTCTTCTTCTACTCATCTCTGCTACTTCCGCAATAGTCATGGGAGAATTTTCTTAGTCTTGAAGCAAGCCTGCCAAATAGCCAATGACCGGTTACACAATTTATGAACATAGAAATGTCCTCCCTTTATAGGCTGAGCAGTTCTTCGGTGTTTCTCATATAAATTTGTGACCATAGAAGACTAGTTGCTGTACAAGTGCCCTCGTCTAAGCATAATCCTTTGGGCTCTTGAATAATGTTATTTCTTATTCTTGATCTTACCTCTCTTTTCACTCAGTGGATGATTGGTACCTTTCCTGGCTAAACAGCTCATCGGCTATGCAATTTCTTGCAATATCTCTATGACCCGGGACCCATATGAGGGTGACCTTGGAGATGGTGCTAATATCATTTAGGGCTGCTAGGCTTTCCTGTTAAATTTTTTACTTCAGTATTACCACGTTCATTTATTTGATGACCGTCTGACTATCCGAGAAGATATTAATCATAGCCTTTGTTACGGAATGTATATTAAAGTAATCAGCCACCTCTTTTATAGCCAGAATTTTTGTCTAATAAACCCTGCAGTGGTTCGGAATTCGAACGGAAAATTTCTAATTCTTTAGAAAAAACTCGGAAGCCAACCCTGCTATCCAGCTTAGATTCATCCGTGTAAAAATTTATTTCTAACATTCTCCATGGTTTTGGTGTTTGCCATTCTCTTCTTGACGGGATGTTCGTCTTGAAGAGCCTGGGTATAGTGGCGGAGTAGTCGATGTTTTGGTTACAACCAGTGTGAGGTATAGAAGCGTGGCCTAAGATTTTCTCCATGACTTTTAGGAGAAATAAGCAGACGCTAATTGCTCCGTAAGTTGAAAGCAGTTGTACAGGTTTTTCCGCCTTCGATAAAAATTCGGTCTCAGCATCTGTCCATATGCTGTGAATGTCACATAGTACCAGCGACGCTGTATAAAATTTAGAGAGGTCTGTGTGATTGCTGCCTTGTTGCAGTAGACTATGTTGGACCTCACCTGATCCGCGAAATTTTTAAGGGCTAAAGGTGGATAGGGCCCGTGCTACATAAATGTCCTTAAGCTCTACAGATACAAGTACTTAACTACCTTATGAACAAATTCCTTTGGTGCTCTTCTTTTTACATATATCACCTAATATATGTACTATATCATCGTAAATAATTTTCACCACAACATAAACATGCAACAACACATACTAACATAATTAACTCAAACTTTTACTCGCTGTACACACTCACCTATTATGGTTATGAATATGAGCAAGCCTAGCACAATGGACATGACAATCATTTTCACCAACGCGACCGTCGGATCCTTTGTGCCGCCGCCGCCACCGCCACCAATGATGTCATCCAATTGCTGATCATCAAACTCATTATGTTCACCTATAAGAACATCGATAATATTGCTGCTCCCATTTGGGCCAACGCCAGTGCTGTTGAATATAATGAAACCACTGTTGTTGCTACTCTCATCACCGACACCCAGCAAGATGTTGTTGTTGCTGCTGCTGCTGCTAATATTGCCGCTGGTGCCATTCAATACAATTTGATATGCGCTCGTTTCGTTTACGTCGAACAACATCGATGTAGCATTACTATACGCTGTGTTGTATGTATTATAGGTTGGTAGGAGCGGTACATTCAAGTCGGTGGCGGCGCCACCATGCATCAAAGGCATGTCAACATCCAGGTCAGTGTAAAAGTTTTGCGTTGTACTCCAAGTGGCGATTGACGGTGAAATTATATCACCCAACATATTGTTGTAAATCTCTAGCGTAGGCGGAGAGGTAGTATTGGTGCTCTTGATGATGTCTGATGGTATCGATTGAATTCGGAGTAGACTTGTTTTTGCTTGTATTTGATTTTTAGTAGTAAGAGAAATGGTGTTTCACTAGTATTGCTATTAATGTTGTTGTGTATTTTTGGTGTTTTTAGTCGTATCTAGTAGTATACATATATAAGTAGTTGGTGTTGTTGCTCTTGCTGTCTGTTTGCTCAGCTTCTTATTTTATGTGCCAGTTTATTGATATCGAATATTTTTCGTCCCTTGGCTCTTGTTTGCGCCGACGACGACAAGCTTTGCCGTTGGGTGATTTTCAACGGACAGCATCTGTAATGGATAGCAAGGGAAGGTTATGAATGTAAGCAAGAAATTCTTTGACGGAAAGTATACAGGTAGTTTTATGATATGCTCAGAATCTTGATTCTTTTACCTGGACTACTGAGTTCTTTTCCATTCATTTGTTGGCTTGAGCTACTCAAAAAGTTGATTGATGGTAAAATTTGAAAACTTTAGAGATAGCTGGTGTTGTTTTACTTTAATGACTTTCCTACTTCTATCAAACAGAAATAGCTTACTCCTTTGAAATAAAAACTTATCTCCACATTTTATGAAGAAAACACTGAAAATAGAAAGCCTGAAAGAAGAAAAGCCAGTAAGCGATGTATAGGAACTATTAGATAAGTCCATGAGTTTGTGAGGAACTCGATGGGAGGGGCGACCAGGTTGTTTGCTGTTTGTATAAAAAAGTATTTGTTCGATAAAAAAAATGGTGAGTGGACACTGTAGCCAATGGTAAGTATCACCTAGCACCTCTGGATGGTTTTAAGTAATGCAGAGTCCGTAAAAAACTCCAGACGAGATGTCGTAGGATGCGTTAGCCTGGATAGATTATGTTTTAAAGTTCCACCAACTTATTGCTTTAAAATGCTTTGTTATATGACTCTTGAGAAGTCCAAAAAAAAGAAAAAAAAAATGGATGACATAGGATTTTTCGGGAGTAAAATTTCGAAACCCTCTTTAGTTTGATACCTGTATTTGAATATTTTCTTTTTTTTTAACAATTTAATTTAATGCAATTTTTGAAACAGCTTGCAACCTTCCTACAAATATATTTGGTAGCAAACTTGCCTAAACCTCTCTAGTTTGTACCAACACTGCAAAATTTTAATTATCTTGTCAAGTAAATTAAATTAAAAATTTCATAAATATGGCAACCTACAACAAAAATACTTTCCGCGGGGCGTCTTCTTAAACATCTTTCTTTGGACAGTCATATTCCAATATTTCCTTTATCTTATAAATTTATTTAAACTGAAATTTTCAAACAGGTGGCAACACAAATTTTTTTTTTGTCTATAATTTAAGTTAAACCTCTAAAAATAAATCTGTGTAATGGGCGTACAAACATACAGACAGACAAAAAATTTAGAAATTGTTGATCTGGTTTCTATTGCTCTAAAAAAGATGACCCATATTAATTTTCTCATGCCCATACAATTTTAATGAAGTATACCGAAATAACGCGGTAAAAACTCGGAGCGGTTGAAAAATCCGATTTTGACAGGGCGTTAGGAAATTAAGTTGACTAAAGAGAACGACTAAACTGTCAATTCCGTATTTCACACACACAAACCTATGCACATTGTTGCTGTTATTTGTATATATGACGTAGCGTTGCTGCTTTTTATATACGTAAAGAAAAAATTAAAATAATTTGTTTTCTCCTAAGAAACGAAAAAATATCATACGACATTTTTACCGTAAGTAGTACATATAGACACCTATAAACTCTTTAAATTTGAAGAAAATAAAAGTTGGTCTCTTTGAGAAAAAAGATTTCTTGTTATTTCATAAAATCTTATTGTTGTTATCGTTCATCAACATTTTTCACTTTTATTGAACAATTTTAAAAAAGTACAAAAGATAAGTTACAATAGCCTTTGCAGCAGCCAAAAAATTAAGGAAATTACAAGGTTTAAACAAAAATTGCCACCAAATTATTTTTTTAAGAAATCTTAAAAAATTTGTAAAAAATGCAAAAGTACTGACATGAACTTAAAAAAAAAAATACGTGCCCATTTATTGCTCAAGCAGAAAAACATATTTATACCGATGTTAATTCTCTATATACCATCGGACTGCCTGCATGATTTGGAATGGATGCGGTCTATTACAAACTGAATAAAAAGGGAAAATGTTTAAATCAGCATATCTATGTCATTTCAATTGAGTTTGGCCCTTGAACGGCTCTAAACCTTTGTAATGTGGCAGTGAAAAAAAAATCTTGCATAAATTTAAAGTTATAGAAAGTACAGTCTTACGCCGACTCCGAACGGCTATTCTATTTTTATGAGAAGCTGTTTTTCATGGCAGAAATACACTCGAAGGTTTGCCATTGCCTTCCGAGGGGCGACCGCTATTAGAAAAAACTTTTTTGCCATGGCATGTGCGTAATTAAGGCTGACCGCGGCAAGTAATCGCAAACTGAATTCGAGTCATAATTAAACAAGTTAGCAGGAAACTTGGATTTAGGCCTTTTTACGGCGCCCGCTAAGAATGAATATGTTCATGACACCAAAATGCTTTCAAATGAGGGGGTAATTGCAAACCTTTTTTCGCGAACCAGTCTAGTGTACAACCATATGTAAAGTACATAAAGAATCACATAAAAATGCATGTACTCTAGTCATATCATATCCGTCATGCCACGAAAGATTACCTACATGGGAAATTACGTAAAGAAAACCGAATAAGAAATATCACAAATGTAATGAAAGAAAAAAATTTATTACGCTGAGAAATAAGTCAACAACAAATGGGTTAATATTACCAAAACCAAACTTGAAAAGGAATCAAAGTGATTTTTGATAAATAATAACAATGCCATTGTTGATATTTATGCTTAACAATGATTTGAGGATATTAACCACACTTTTGTTTACATTAAACACATTTTCGTTTGCCGTTTTTTTCGTTTGAATACACTTATGTATATTCTGCACTTCACAGATGCTTTTTCATAGTTCGGAGACACAAAATAAGTTTTTGTTATCATTTTAACATGTTGCCTCGGACGGGTTTTGAACTTTGAAACCAAACAATAACTTGGTTGAAAGAAAACCATATTGCTTTTGGCTCAGTGTAAGCCTTCAACTCTATTGCAATAGATTGACTGTAAGAAATAGCACATACACACGTATGTACATATGATGATGTATAGCAATTTATGGTGTAGGTATTTATTTATAACATCTTGTTGCGTTGCACCGCGGGGTGGCATTTTAATATCCCGAATGCATATTGCTTGCTCTTTTTATGTGAAACACACACTCCTAAAGAGAGCAAACGTCGTCGTTGCAACTTTGATGATAGTAGGATTAACAGTGACGCAGTTATGGGTTGCAGTACAGTGATTAAAGAAAATTCCATAAGTTTAAGTTTAGAATGGTTTGAGTCAGAACTGTAATTAAGCAAAGAAATCGAAGAGGAACTAATACCGATATTAAAGATTATATTGGAAACGTCGTCCTCAACACCAGGGCCATATGCGTAGAATTTTCCAGCCAAAAGAAAGATATAAAAGAGTCTGGCGGTAAAAGAAGACAAGCCAAAGTAAATTTTAGCAACACGCACAAAGAGCCCTTGCTTATTGGGACAAGCGTCACTGATACAATTTTGGAGCCGTGAAGGACTTTGTCAACCTAGGATACGTCAAGAACTAACTAACCAATAATGCCTTCAGCTTAGTAGGAAATCGAAAAACAGCGACATTTTTTGACTAACAAACATCGCATTCTACATATCTCGACACACTAAAAAGAGGGAATCTGTTTGTGGATGGTAGATTTGACCGCTTTAGACTGAATAGCTCAGCGGATATCAACTTCTGAAGTTTTCCTTTATGTGCCCCGCACTATTGATTTTTGAGACATTTTTACTGCATAGAATTCATAATTTTGTGTATTTATTTCCCTAATATTTTAAAACTTTTGCCAAAATATTAACATTTAAGTGAGCTAGACCGATTTGAAAATACATTTAAATATCTCATTCTTTTAATTTAGTTGATAAAATTTGTAAATATTTTTAGAGCAAAAAAAAAAATTAAAAATTAAAGAAATCTCAGATTAAACCGGTCGGTTTGACTTTTATTTTTTTCCGAAAATTACGTTCGAAAAACATTTATGGAAATGTAGAAGCGCATTGATGTTGATACGGACCTTATGGATTACTGGGAGAGTAAAAAATTTATATATCCGCGACTAAGAGATCTGTAGAGATGTATTATACATCAAGTGCCAGCGACACGAGTCAGTGTAGAACGCGCCTTCTCAGCACAAAGTATTCTTAGCGATTTGTGATACAATTTGTTGTAGCAGAACTTGGCAGCTAAAATTAATTGTTAAATTCTGAATCACTCCTGTAAAAAGGTGAATAACTTAAAGCTTAAATTACGGAAACTTAATGTATTTACAGAAGATAGAAAACTGCTATTGAAAGGGTGTGCATTTTGTATTAAAGCATATTGTATTGTCAGACTTAACTTTTATAATTGAACGAGAAAATAAAAGTAAATTTTTAACTTTTATTTTTGACCGAAAAAATAAAAGTCAAGTTTTAACTTTTACTTTTGACTGAAAAAATATCTGTAAAAAATAAAGATTAATTGGTGACTTTTTTCAAAAAAAAACTAAACAAAAAAATAAATAAATCATATAGGATTTACATTCCTTGGCTAATAAGCATCACATTGCGTTATACAAATGTTAAAAATACGAATTATTTCCGACTGAGTTTTTGACTTGTAATTTTGAAAATAATTATTATTTGCGGTCCCTTCTCTATTATTTCCGGCAGTGGTGTTGTTTGTTTTTCATATAATCAAGCCGTCGGCACAGTATACTGACTCGATTGATAGGGTTTGCCAAATAAGGCATATTGTGTAAAGAATTTCGCTTAATCAAAGAAATAACGTGCGTACATATTTATGCTGGAAAACGTGACAACTAAAAACATTCAATATTGGGAGGAAAAGGGCTTTAGAACCAGTTCGCTCACTTTGAGGAAAAGAAAATAGTTACTAAAGTTTTACTTTGATCAAATAGTGATTGATGTCAAGTTATACATAGTAGTTACGCAAAATGGAAAATAATAAAATTAAACGATTGACTTTTTTTCCTTGAGATGCAACTCATAAGTGCAGATGCTGTTAAATTTTATTTACGCAACACTGAAGAAGGCAAAGGTGAATATTTCTGAATACTATGTAAACTCAAAAGGCTTACCTTGGATAACGACGCTCTTCTGTATTGACCTAAAATATTCTT